GGCTATAAAACATGTCTTGTTTATTCTTTCCTAACAAGCTACCTAACTTATCTTTTCCCAGTCTCTTGTCAAGAAGCTTTGTTAACTTTTGCTGAAGCAGGAGCTTTTTAAATTCCTTTGGGGGTGGTGGGTGGGGGGGGGGGAAGGGTGCCCCAGCCTAGGGCCTGAGTCCTCAACAAGAGGACAAGAAACAATTTTCCTCCTACCCGTCTGAGTTCTTGTCTGAGACCCCATAATGAAAGACAGATTAACAAGGTAAAAATAAACAGAAGTTTATGAATGTGTATACTTCATGTATACGTGGGAGATACCCAGAGACAAACAAGAACTCAGAGGTGGCTTAGAACTCCAGCTTAAAAGCCATTTTCAGCTAAAGACAAAAGAAAAAAAAGGTGCAGGGAGGCCAGTTGTGGGAAAATTACCAGGAGAAGTAATGTAAACAAGAGTAAGGTTTGTTATGCAGATGTAAGTCCTTTCCTTCTCCACTGATATGGGTCTGAGGTTGCCTCATTAGATTAATCTCAGTCCTTCCTGACTGAGAGGAGAGGCGTCTCTTCTGTCTATGGGGACGGAGAGAGCCAGGTGACAGGTTACCTTACTGGTACTTGACCAGGAAATTTCAGACTGGTTGATTAAGGTTATTTTTTCAGGAAAGGTTGAAATATTAGTGATGTTGAGTATTAACTCAAGGTTCGGTATTATGGGTTTTAGCACAAGTGACGTCATGTTGGGCCTGTCGTTTTCCCTTTAAAATAGTCAACACTGACCTACTGACAGTGACACTGTTCCCGTGAACACGATTCCTCTTGACTGTCTACTCAGGGCCCAAAGGGAAAATACTGAATAGGCAAAAATAAGCAAACCAGACCCAGAGAAAATAGGAAGAAAAGCGAGCTAAGAGGGTTAGCAGTAAGAAAGATGCAAACTCATGCATTCTTAATAATTGGGAAAAACTCATATGCTGAGCTGAAATTTTCCCTTTTCAACAGTGTTTCTACCATTTTCTACTAATGTCTGACTAAATATAGATTCATCTTTTTTTCGATTAAGAATGAGCATTCTGGAGGATCAATGATAGCGCTCTTCTGGGCTTATCTCTCTTCTCCCATTTTCCATCCATCAGAGTTACCTGTGGTTATTTAAA